CCGCCCCCCGCATCCCGGCCCCCACTCGTTTTACCTGCATATATTGCATGCTCTGCAGAATATCAGGATGATCAGGCAAGCCTCGACCGAGATCGCTGACACCGAGGTCATCCAGAACAAGCTAGTCCAGAACGTGTGGCGCGCGAATATCAACCCCAAGCTGAAACAGTCCGTCCCGGAGGAGCCGGTCCGCATGGGGCTCCAGGCGATCGCCTGGGTTCTCATGCTGGTCTTCTTCCTGGTGGTGTTCATCTACAGCTACCTTCACCAGCGTTGCACTACCTTCAAGAGCCTTCTCAGTGCAGAAGACGCGATCTCCAACAACGACGGGTACACCTGCCAGGCCGTCGAAGTCCCTCAGGTGTTCAACGGCCAGCCGTACTACGACAACGCGTACTGGTGGGGCTTCGGTGTCGTGTCTGCATGGGGGACTTTCCGTGGGTCGAACTGGACCGCGTACTGCGGGGATTTGATGACAGAAGTCCGGGGGGTTGTGAACTTTGACGACCAAATTGACTCGACCACCTGGACGTACAGCTTCACGAACACAACAGATGGCAATTCAGAATGCGATTACACAACAGGCTACTATCCGGGGCTGAATTCCCTTCCCAACGCCCCTGGCGGCGTTCTGGGATGCAGCTACCCCAACCCTTTTTCTGCTTGCGAGATGGATGACGAGGAAGTAGATGGAGCTGACATAGTGGGCGCGTTTTAGACCACCCCTAGCGTAGACATGAATGGCACGTTCTGCCCTGATTTTATCTTGTGGCACCCTTTGACGGCGGACAAGTCGCCGCTAGATTATCCTGATAATGTTAAGGATGTTGAAGAATATACTTCGAGTCTCTGTGAGGTGTGGGGTCAAGACGTGGGCATTGTTTCCAAGGCGGTGCAGAAGTGCGAGAAAGAGGAGTGTAGGGAGTGGTACGCGATCCTATCAAACGCGATCTCCCTCGCGCTGGGCATTGAGTTGGCGGTCGTGCTTGTCATCGTCTTGTCCTTCAAGGTTAGCGAATACTACGAGGTAAGGAAGAGGCAGAGGCAGAGTAGCGCGGACGGCGGCGGGGGTGAAGAGAAAGACGGTGACGAAGAGAAGGAGAAAGAGGACAGAGAGAGGGAAATCAAGACTTTGATGCAGGAAGCAGGACAGGCGGTCTACGATGCCGGCAAGACTGTCAAATCAGCGCTGGCTTGATATTGGCATGTATGAATGCTGCCCCAAGGGCCCCATGTAGTTCCATTTTTTTTGGGGTGCTTGTTGATGTGTGCCATGTCTCTCCAAGTTTTACCTGTCCCTTTGCACCACCCATGGTGAAGGGACCATGGTGAAGGGTTTCTTCCTTGCACTAGGTCCGGTAGGTCCACGGCCGGTCGCGTCGTTGGGAATATCCTTGGGGTGAATCTTTTATGGTGCGAAGAGCCAGTTCGTTGTTCGCACGATGGAACTGTTGTGTTTTTGTAAGGGTGCAGGGGGAGGGGTGAAACATAATTGATCGTCGCCGGTGAAGCGGCGTTGAGGGCCACGTCGTGTTTCCCGAAAGTTTTCGTCTCGAATTTTCGGTTGCCATTTCGCTAGTCAAACTAGCTTCCTCCTGGAAGAGGAGTGCTGCGTGTGTTGCTTGTTCAGGATTAAACAGGGGAGGAAGAAGATTTGGCGTGTTAGGGCAAGCCGTACGGAGTTGTTGCTGCTGAGGCTCTCGACTTGCCGTCTTGACATATTGTCGCCTCTCAGGTTGTGGTGTTTATTTATTGTCGTCGCTTTTTACTCGAGGGTGGGTTGAAGTTTGCAAAACTCGGGAGGCTTGGCGTCGGCGTTGATGAAGCTACTCTGTGTGCGGTAAGCACGAATGGGTTTACAACAGTCAGTAGTGGGCACAACGAGCTCGTGTTTGTTTGTTTGTTTGAGGTGTGAGAGCTACGTGGACGTACGGTACCGAGATTGAGCCCTCCTCGGGGGCGTTTTTAGGTTCAGGGATCGACTCCGTGGTGGTGCTGAAAACGTGCTGACGACTGTAAAAATTGGTCGGAGAGAATTTCAACCCTGGATAGAATCACTCGCTGATACATATAAATACATATATATGTGTGCACGACTTTTTTGTCTTCTCAACATATATTTGTTTCTCCTAATATATATTTACCTCGTCAGACTATTGATGGATGATGGATTTGGATGAGATGGTCCGTCTCCCTCCCGTCACCCCTCACTCCTTTTCTCCCGTTTATTGGCTTCACGTCACGGCACAAGCCTGGCTCTGCGTCCCGTGTTTACGAGAGTCGTTTATCGACTCGTCTTGTCTTTGCGGGGGTACAGTCCCGCTCTAAAAGGTGATGCATTTCTTCCACTCGCAGCTACGATGTGGGAGCACGAACGATGCTCGCTTCGAGATACCACAAAATCGAAGGCAGTTCAGGCCACACTACACGCTCCCACGACAGCAGAGAGAGGGTAGCTGGTGGTCAGCGACCGCAGGCCCGCCATGGCCGGTGGCATTTTCAACCCTAGTCCTCTTGCTGCACGGGGTAGTCTACACTTTTGTTCGATGAGTGCATCATCACCTCGAAGTCGATATTTTCATATTTTTGACGAAGTAAATGGCGCACCCTCTTGCAGCAATTAACTAACCCTTTCGGGTGAAAACAACCGGCCAACCGACGTCGTGCAGGAGGTTGGGTCCCAAAGCGGGCCGAGTTATGCCATTCACGAGCACACAACAAATCCATCTCTATCTAGACTATAGGAATAAGTCTAAGATAGATTAGCAATGATACTGCCTTTCACGCCAAGGTTCTGTACTCCGCTTTGTTTTGAGATTAAAACGTTCGGCGACCGCAACAGACCAACGAACCCGCTCGGACTGCGACATGTCTATGACCGCACTCTGAGTTAGGCAGTTTCATACACGTATCAGGAGCGCGAATAACGTCCCCGATTCGCGGTACTCTCCCCGTGTTTTGGTCTAATTTGCCACGAGCTATATTCTCTGGCGAGGCTATCAAATGTATTGCAGTGCCCTCACGCTCTCATTCCTCATGCTGCTGTTGAACCGGCACCCCTTGACTTTTCGATTTTGTTCGCCTTCGAATACGGTATGTAGCATGAATGAGTCAGTGTTTTGCGTCTCTGCAACACCAGCAGGTTATTTATCCCACAGACGTGTCAATGGACGTCAAAAAGAGGCCATTAGAGTACACAGTAGCGAGCGGTGCACGTGGAAAATAGCAGGAGCTCATACATGTTGTGGTTGTTTGACTCAGTGCTCTCCGAATCCCAGATCGGAGATCAGTAGACTAGAGATCGGAGATCGGAGATCGGCCGGAAGTCATGCCGCGTTTTTGAGGTTGCGCCGCATGCATGCGATTCGGTGATCTGAATCAGGAGCAGTAGGAGGTGTATTGCCCTGAGAGGGCAACGAGAGGCAGGAAGAGATGATCAGGGAGACAGGGAGTGTGGCGTGGAGACTTGACCAGCCTTTCGGAATCTGTGGTTAGGTAGCACACCCGAGCTAAATGAATCATCACCAGGATGCCTGCCTCGCGCCCCGTACTTCTTGCCGTGTATCATGATGGTGAACGATCAACTGCGGTGTTGCGGCTTCGGGCCGGCGTGGCCTTCCTTCTCCCCTGTTCCGGTCATCGCTCAGCAGTCGGTACTTCGCTGCGGGGTTCACGCAGAGAGCAAACGCAGGAGGTTCCGGGTGAGCAGTGAAATTTCTATCGGTAACCTCGGCTGACTTCCAGCGTTTGAATCTACTGCTGCTGCTGTAGGGCGTTGTACCAGAGTAGACGCATGCCCTTGAAAGGCGAGCCTGATCTTCTTGTTGGCGGGTAAGTGGTGCCAACACAACCTCTACTAGTGTTAGGTGTCCTTATGTACACAATGTCCAGTCTTCTTGCCGTTGCTTCTGCATTTCCCTTCGTGCCCGTGGGCCCTCTCTGTAGGTCTCGCCAGATGAGATGGACTTGGCCGGGTCACGAACACAGGTCAGCGAGAGGTCTTGGATCCACTCTGCTTGAACTTGGGCAAAGGAGTGAACTGCTGATGACCCCTCCTGTCCTGATACCACATTCCTGCTTGACTCTGATTACAAAAGCCTTGACCCCCATGGTAGATAATTTCGAGTGCTTTGTAGCCTAGTTTTTGCGCAAACTCAAAATAGAGTAGTTGAAATACAAGGAAAAATATACGAAACAAAGATTGCTGTAGTATCGTCTCGGCCATATGGCATGTATGCATGAATGCGTACACGAGTATGCTATCATACAATGGTTTAGTGTCGATGGCCCGTGATACTGGCCCTCAAACAAGATGGTTGTGACGTCCGACAAGAGTTGGTCACCTTGACGGTGGTCCTCGCTGCTGCCGTGGTCGTCTGGAGGTGGGTTTCGAGGAGGAGATATGACTGGAAGCAACATTAGCCATGACACGGCCGACGCCCGTTCGGCGGATGAGGACGACAACCTCGAGTCCGGGGGCGACGACATGGTCAACCCTGCGGGCTCCGACATCAGGTTCATCGATTCAGCAGGCGCGGACTTCCTATCGACAGGTGGGGACATCGAGTCTAGGAGGTCTGACATCGAGTCCGGGAGCTCGGGCGTCCAGTCAAGAGAAGCTATCGGGGCCGCCGGCAACTCCTCGTTGAGTGGGGAGGAGAAGCAATCGGTGCGCACGCGTAGCGTTCTGCTCCTTGTGCACGTAATTTTTTTTGTTTGTGTTCCGTGTGTGACGATTAAGGGTTAGGTGTACCGGAACAGTTGTCGAGACCACTGCAGCGTCGTTTGGTGGGAACATAGTACATCCCACTCGTCTTGGCCACATATCATGTTGCATATATCTTCGACATGGCCAGGAGCGCGGTACANCAAGGTTGCTTTTGGTAGGGTATGGTAAACTCGGGTAGGGTATCGTGGGTAGTACCAAAACTACCCACGGGTAGGGTATAAGAGCTCGGGTACTCTACCCTCGGAGGGTAGGGTATCGAGAGTAGTACTAAAACCTACCCGAGCGTTGGGTAGGGTATAGAGGGTGGTACAAAACATACCCGCAGGGTAGAGTGTACCCGACAATGAACCCTACCCGCCCCGGTAGGGTACGGGTGAAAAATCCGTACTTTTACCAGGTGCGGGTAGGGTATTGAAAGTCATACAAAACCTACCCGAGGGGACGGGTAGGGTAGGAAAGTCCTACCAAAGCTACACGAGACTCCGGGTAGGGTACAGAACGTCGTACCAAAGCAGTAGATACCCAGGTCTACCCGATCCCCCACAAGTGCTTGCTGGTGACGTCAGAATGCGGCAGAACCGTTGCCTGCGTGCCTGCGTGCCACCACAGCGCTCTCTCTACTCTCCACCCGTACCCACTACCCTCGGGTACCGGAGCAGCCACCGGTGATAGGTGAGGCAGTCGGTAGTTCCGCCGCATCTCCCGATGCTGGTGCATTGTCTACACCCGCCGAGCATTGAGACGCGGCAGAAGGGGGTCCACATCGCAAGCGGTGCGTCTCGTCGAGCCCGCGAAAGTCTTTGACAGAAACGGAGCGGAGTACGAAGTACCGCAGGCCACAATAGACGCCGTCGAGGCGTTCAAGGCGCGTGACGGCTACCAGCAGGAAGGATCCCGTGCGGACTCCTTCCTGTATAGCCTGGGCAACTACGAGAGGCCCGTCCATATCGAGCAAGGCAGCAGCTATGTCATCTGCTCGCAATATCACCTGTGGTATATAGAGTGAGACGCCAGAATGAAACTCGTGAAGTTTCGGTCCATTTCGGCCATATTAAACGGTATTATGCGAGGAAAACGCCACCTGCGCCAGACTTTGATAAACTTTCTGAGTTTTTCTTGGGACGCCAGATTCCGTTGCCCGAGCTAGACCATCCCGATGAAGCTCAACCGAAAATTGAGTCCTACATCGTTGACCAAGTGGTAAGCCATAAAAGTGGTAGGGGGCCGAAACCCCGTACAACTACAAGTATCGTTTGCGTCTTCGTGGATACGGCCCTGAGTCGGATCTTATGTACAGAGCAGACGAAATTTCACAATGTCAAGAAATGATAGCTGCCTACCGAATCCGTTGTGGTTTGGACATCGCGCCGCCTGATAAATCTGCGTCTCGTGCCCCAGTTAAACAGGGAGATCCAAAATCACTCAGTGAAACCAGGAATCGAAAACGGAGGCAGGCAATTAATCCTGAAGAAGCTTCACCTCGAAAATTGGTTGTGCAAAGTGACTCTGAGCCACCCAGCAAAACTAACAAACGACGGAGAAGTGTCCAAGGAAACTGTCATTTACCCCAGTCGCGTTCGGCCACGACCCTAGGTGATGTTACATTGCCCCGTTGTACTACCAAACGAAAACGAACTAGGGCCCGAAAATTGAATGATTGATGCATTTCGATCATTTCTAACAGCTACCATTTCTATTTTTTTAGACTTGGGACATTTTTCTACTACTATTATTCTGTGTCCATCACTAACACAGGACCGGTAGCCACGGTGGTAGGTTGTGTCCATTGGCAACAACCTATTCTATCAGTGTTTGGGGAAACACTGGCGAGGAGGATAATTTTTTTTAGCCACCGTTATCCCAAGATCTTATTTATGATGCCTAGGCAGACTTGCCAGAGGTCCACCTCATTACAAGTCTACCCAACATCATCCCCACACATGGCATGTCACGCGATCATGACCATGGGAAATTTTTCCAGTACCCTAGCTGTCATCATGACAGCCCAGTACCCACCATTTTCTAGACTATACTAGTATGGACCACATTCATTGACCGTCTGAAGACTCCCTGTGTTTTCTCAACACGCGTTGTACGATAATCAGATGTAGTCGATGGCGTTGCACAATGGATATAGGTTATTTCCGATACATGCGTCTCCATGAGCCACTCATGTCTCTGAACGCCAAAAGCACATCTTTAGCACAGATGGACTTGTGGCGCATAGAGGAGGGGGTGATGTGGAGGACACCTGTCGGAATATATCAGCAACCATATGTGCACATACAAAGTATAGGAAGATATGATTCCTCGGGGTAACTTGCCATCGGGAGAAGTGGCAAGTAAAGCACCGAGGAGATTTGTCTCTTCCCAAGTCCATGGCCGCTTGCCGAGGGAAGAAATTGGGGAGCCTCCAGCTCGCCCCTCCCGACCCTCTGGTCACTCTTTCTCTACCTCTCTCCTCGTTACATCTCACGAAAGGAAATAGCCACCCTTGGCAGTGGGAGAATACTGCAAGAGCACCGGCCTCTGTCTCTGACAGGGACTAGCGTCCTCACACGCTTTTTTGTTTTTACACGTATGAGTCACCGTTGTTTTCCCCCTTGAACATGCCGTCCATCAATGTATTGTTGGAAGCAAAATTTTGCGGATCCCGATGTGTGACTCCAGAAATGTTTTCAGTTTTGTGCAGAGAAAAGCCAACTGGTGAAACACGTCCATTCCTGGATGCACCACGACTGCCGCTGCTCTTGGGGATAATATCCTTCGGCACGAAGACGCGCTGCACCTATGAACGGTTGGTCTGTAGCTAACCAAACTGAGTGTGCTCGTCCTGCTGTGATGCTCACTATGCCTTAGGCTTTCTTTCTTCACATGCAGTTCATCATTCTCAAGCTTCACACACTCTCCCGACCCGGACCCCCCTCCCTTTCCTTGGTCGAACGTTCACGCACTGGGTTGGTCGTCCGCTGTTTGTCCCCCCCTTGTGGGCGACGTCTCTTGCTGTCGCAATGCAAACAAAGCCTGGGGATGCACCCCAACATCCCGAAGGTGCTGGCCATCAACAGCGCCCTCCCGTCTATGCCCATTCTCATGGAGTTGGGCTTCTGCGACACGGTGGATGTGCTGGAGAGCACCGACGTGCCAATGCCCCACAAAATGGGGTGAGTGCATGATATTGGTGGAATTATGCTTGCTATTGGATACTCGTGGAGAAGAAGTGCCCTCCGCTGTTGAGGGTGAACAGGAGCACGGCATCGTTGTTGTTGTTGTTGGTAATGGCGAGGATTGGCATGGCGAATGTTGAGGTAGGAGCACAACGTAGACAACACGGCGTGTTATCTGTGGATGTTCTCAACCATGCTTGAAGTACCACAGACATGATATCGAACATGAACACGCTAGGGTGCACGAAGGTGCGGCGAGGTGCATGCTGCCAAGGTGAAATTGAAAAATCGCGGTCAGCAGAGATGATAGACTCTAGCTATAGATGATTAAAAGCGTCTTCGCCCGGTCTGGCCTTGTCATTTTTCCGTATGTTTGTGCAGCATTCTCTACGATGCAGCGTGCGGCCTGGCGCACATTCACGACGACGGCATGATCCACCGCGACATCAAGGCCGCCAACATCGGTGTGATGGTAAATGAGGACGGCAGTGCGTCAGGAAAGGTGGCCGATTTTGGGCTCACGTGCGGTGAGTGCTGTTACTTTGTAACATAGACTGAACCATTCGAACAATCGAGCGCTCGAGGTTTGGCAGCAGAACCAGTTGCAGCAGCAGCGTGTACCTCATCAACCACGCGCAATCGATGCCCAGCTAACTTACGGAGCCTTGAAATATCCGGGCTGCGGCGGTCTCAATGGCCTTGTCCCTACCCCCGACGCCCCTTGCAGTTGTTTGCGTCAAGAGGGGGCGAGCAACTTTATATGTGAAGAACCCTGGGACGGAGAAGCAGTCCGGTATCTCTGGGCATGCGTATTTCCACGTTCCGGAGATGCGTGTGTGGGACCTTCGTTCCCCGGTAGGACACTTTACTCTCGTCTGAACTGGCCTAGAGGCGTCATCCTCGGTTTTCCCACCCACGCCTGCCTGACAACAAAAAAGGAGCCCTCAAAGTGCCAGTCAGTATTTTGACGTTCATCGTGACAATAGTAGAACGCTGGACACCAAGAGGCTAAACAGGGGCAGGACAATACGAAGGCACCGGAGACCAATATTATGATGCTCCCAAGGTTCACAACTGACACACAGTACCAATCATGAATACGGGGCCGATCTCTTTCTTGCAGAGAAAGGGGAAGCGACTCCGTCGAGGACGGGGACGCCGGGGTACATCCCCTCCGAACTCGTGTGGAGTGCTGTGGAGGCCGGGCCGGAGAACGACGTGTTCTCGTTCGGAGTGCTGATGTTGGAGGCATTCATCCAACCCGATCTGCGGGAGAACAACATGTTTCTTCACAGAGTGAGTGGCAGCAGAATGGAGTCGGCACACGGGAGGCATTGTACCGGCGGTGGAGTATGCCTTCTAAGAGCCAATCGATGGCTTGTTGTTGTTCATGCACCGTATGTTCTGCAGATCTACATTCTGCTCACGGCTGTAATGCCCGTGGCACGCCCTCTTTCAATTCCTTCGCGACCGATGAAATTTCGACAAATACGACATGTTTTGGGGCGTAAGCTGTTGCACAACGCGCAGTGGTCATCCCGATCCTCATTGACAGATGTGCCTGTTCAGCTTGAGTCTCGCGGTTGCGTCCATGTTGCTCCGTCCTGTCCCTCGCTCGTCGCCCTATCATACACCATTGATCGTTATTCCCTACCACGACTACCCAGTTCTTGCTCTCCGATGACGAAAAGGCGGACTTCGCTGATCTCGGCGATGACAACGTTCCGGGCATTCTCCACCTACAGGTGTGTGTAGTCGGACCCACGCTAGCTACATCAAGCAGCAGGAACGGCAGGACAGACGGCCACCCACCCCCCAGATGTACCCAAGCGTACCGCGTATTTGTGTCGGTAATTCCACGAGGCACCGGGTTGTTCGTGACCAGAACACGTGGATAGGCCAGAGATATAGTAGCACTACGACCGTTCAAACCTAGATGAAAAACCCTTGCCATCAGGATCAGTACTACTTTTGTTTCCATGCGCCTTGAAGAGTAGGGAACAACAGATACTGGATAGAGAGAGGGTCAGAACGGTTTGTAGCGTCAAGACAACAGTGACACCACCATTATCCATGTGTAGGACAAATATCAATAATGCCAGCCCCGTGACCTCCGCCCCAGCATGGCGTCCTTGATCAACATGCTCAAGTTCCTCAAGGAGAACAGGGAGCCGCCTCCGATGGCAATGCTGTTGTGCATGTGAAAGACCGAAGGGCATAGACGATAATGAAAAGATTGATGAAGAAGCGGGGAAGGCGGTGATGTGGGTAGACGTACACCCCACTCACCGTTTCGTTGACGTGGTGATCCACCACCCTTTGGGGTCAAATTTTTTGCTCTGTCTGCGCCACTAACCCGTGTGTCACATTGATCAACATGTGTTCACCCCGAGGAATGAATGTTGGACACTCATGTATTGTACCACGACTTGGCTATTCTAGAGTGGCAGAAGCAGAGCGACAAGGCTAGCCAATCTGAATGGAAGAGAGGTGTTCGAGAGGGAGAGGGGGGGGGTTCGTGTGTGTACGAACACAACTCCACCTTATTCCTGCACGAGATGGCTGGAGTCGGTGCCTTCTTGGCAGCCGTGCGCCCATGGTTGATTTGGAGCAGTGTGATGATATTTGTGAATAGAAAAGTTGGCCCCGTTCCCGTGGACAGGGAAGGTGCAAGTGTCTGTCACAGCTACGCACGCAGGAGGAAAGTATCTCAACTTCACACCTCTGTATTTGCTGCAAAATCGTTGGTTCTTGCGTTTTCTACTGGGGAACTTGGCATGAATGCGCTCGGTCTTCGGAGTGGTGAATTGCGAAGAACAATAGAACCGAAGTTGGGTTGACGTTTAGATCATGGCATGAAACAGAATGTGTATTTACGTGTGTGGAATTCTCAGAGAGCGGCGGCGATAGAAGAGGCGCAATGCACCGAGAGTGTTCCCGTACAAATGGCAGAGGGCGGTGTCACTGTCGCATTCATTTCGGTGTTCCGACAGCTGTGCTTGTGGGCCTTCCCCGCCCCCTTCTCGGTCGGTTGTCCTCCAAATGGAAGGTTCCGCTCACATTTCGTGTTGAACCATAGCTGTGTCGTGTCGCCGTTTATGTGGGTGTATGTAAGGACGAGGAGAGGCTGGCCGGGCCTTGCCTTTCTTCGGACGTGTGTCGTCCACGTTGTTATAGGGTTTGATGCCACGTTTGAGTGAGATCGCGACTTGCGAAAAGTTTCTGCTGCTGTTAGTCATCATCGGACTCTTCTCGCATGCTTCTCGCATGCGTGGGTAGCATGTGTTCATTGTTGCCCCCTCCCCCACGCACTGGATTGCGTGTGATCTTGAACTTACCTGGAACCGTTGGTTTCGTTTGAAGACTTGCTCTCTGTCTTTATATTGACGTGACGTGCGGGCTAATGGTCGTTTCTTTTGCTCGGGCATTCCTCGTTTTACGCCCCGCTGAACTCGGGATGTGTCCAAGATGTTGGATAAATAAGACCGCGGCGTTCAGTTTCTTGATGCTGAACTTGCATCGGGTGTCAGGTGTCGACTTTAGAAAGACTCGTCGCCTTCGCACGAGCGAGCGGTGTACAGAGTCGAGTGCTTGTTGCAATGGCATGCCACTTTGGCAGTTTTCAGGCCAGTTGTTGGCGGCGTCTCCACAAATCGATGATTTTCGTTCGAAGCCTTGATTGTCGAATCATTCGTGTTTTGGCCGCTTCCTATTTGTGGAGTAGGCACGGATATATTTTCTTTGCTTCATGTAATGGATCCTTCCGAAGGGGTTGGATACCATGCTCTTGTGGCGGGTCGTTAGCACGCTGCCCGTAATCTTCCGCGACCGGTGCGTTGTAGATGCGCGGGGTAAGATTTGAGAATTGATACTATTGGTGCTTCGCATTGGACGAGGACAGCACCCCGGTGTAGAAGGAGGTGTTGGCGGTTAGTAGGTAAGGGAGCAATAGCATCCGATCGGACTCTCAACCATCGTCACGATCCATTGGATGGATGGCTTGTGGGTGCGCCTGCATAGCTGCCCGTATAGAACGTCCAGGTGGTACATATGTCGGTATGTGTATACGTCATCGGGTGTGTTCACAGTAGCGCTGAGTTCAGGCGTGTAATCCTATTGTTTGTAGTCTAGTATTGTAGAACCACAAGGTGGGTGTGATGGGTCGGTCGGCGGTGCGAGACGCATTTCCTCATCTCTATTATAGGCTACTTTTTTTGGCTATTTCGATGGGCACGAGATCTCCTGACTGTCTCGTATACCCATCCGCCCAGCCCGTCAGCTGGGGTGTTCTATATGTGTGGTGGTTTTGAAAGTGCTGGGCATTGTTGCAGAGGACCCATCCGATGTTGTGTCATGATGTGGATACAAGGGGGTTAGTGGAGCAGATATTGCAAGGAGAGCATGACTTGGTGTGTATCCCGGCTCGCCTGGACCTGGAATTAGCGCGTCGTTGCAATTTGCCAGGGGCCCGATGATATTGCATTGCTCCTCGTTTGTTGGTCTCTCCTTCGCTGTTTTTATTAGTCGTCCGGGTGTACCGTGGTACGATTCCATGTCCTATTGGGGGCAGGATATGGGGGCAACACTAACGTTAAGACAAAGGTGCGGCGGGATCTTCGCGCCGCTCGTTCTCTGCTCCAAACATCAACGCGTTTCTGCTATTTACCGGCCTTCAGAGGTTACACACGACACCCTCAATCTCCCGTCGACTGCACCGGCCTGCCGCCTCAAAGGAAATCGAAGGACCATAGACTTACCTGCATTCACTTTTAAATGGTGGCGTTGCTCTCATTCTTTCCTGAGCCCTCTAATACAAGCGCTGGCTAGGCTGACAGCTTTCGTTGCTCGAGATTGCCATTATGCACGATACAACCAATAGATGATCGTGTGAGCGTGCACTCTACGGCAAGAGTCTCGTCCATCCCTGCCAATTTCGTGGCAGTTCCTGGGTTGTGACGCCAAACATGGAATACTCCAAAAGTAGCCCTTGTCGCTACACAAGTCCGTCGGTTTTATCCCCTTCTTCTGCTACCGGCATACTCGACCGATGCAACACAACTGTGGGGGTGCACAACGCATCCAAAATTTCCGTTCTCTCTGCATCATGCCTTGGTACCCGCCGAATGGCTTGAATTGTTTCGACGATTAACGCTACCTTTCCCGCCCCCCCGGGGGGGACGCACGTGTCCTGTCCTGATAATTTTTTAAATACGCACCCTTCGGAGTAACGAAACGGCCTGTGTTGCAGGCGCTGCGACCCCCTATGATCAAGACATCAACAAGCACTGCAAGTCGACAAGACTAACCGACAAATGGGTTGTCATGACGGTCCTCAGGGATTGCGACGCGTGTAAAGCTGAAAATATTTGGCGTGTCCCCTTGAAGAGGATCAGATTTCTCTCGCCTGGTTTCCTTCTTCCTGGTGGGAGAAGGCGTTCTGTTTGGTCTACCTCTTTCTCTTTTTTGAAGCGCGGTCTGGCCTACTTTCTTCTTTTCCAATGTGGCTCATCGTAGAGACGATAGCAATAACATTGTGTCGGACAACCCCACGCACGCGGTTCATTCACCATGAAACGCCAAACAACCTAGACCAGGACAGACCCCTCGTCGTTCCTGTGTTTGCGTGCAGGCTGCTTCTTCTCGGTAGTTTTGTAACCTGAATCCGACCCCCTACCTTTGATTCAGCTCATGTGAGCCATACTTTTTCCGATCTACACGCGAAAACATGAGAAATGCGCAGTGGGACAGACAAGACCCGAGGGTCTCACCCATCCCGATAGTGCCGCAAGCCCACCTCCCCCTTACACGCTACAAAAACACCTCAGCCACCATCAGACAGAAACCCGAACAATACACTAAGGAAGAGTTCCACGCTACGACCACGTCGGTAGCCACGCGGCCCATCCCTACGTTAATCCCTTTTCCCCGATAGCAATCTGGAAGCAACGACGCGAATAACACACAAAAAAAAGGTAAGGTACACATGGGTAAACGTTCTTCGAACACGAGGCAATCATACCACAACAGGAAATAAAGCACACGCGGAACGGCCGGAAAAACTGGCACCTTACACCAACCGTAATTGACCGCAATCGCGCGTTGGACGTCTCTCCAAGGAGGAGTGTGTGTGACTTCGTCCCATGTGTTCTGCGCACTAGTCCAGATATTCCGGTAGAGTTTCGCGCGCCAGCCGGGGTTGCACAGGAGGAAGGCGTACACAGGAGTTTTTCCTCTCCACCGTTCCTCCTGAGGTACTTCACTTCACGATTCAACGCGAGAAGGGTTCCCTCCTTTTCGTGTGTACTCTCATTACTTACGCTATCTCTACTTCTAAATTGCAGGACTTGAGTCTCAAGAGGTTCACCCCCATATATAGCCAGAATGCTTCAAGAGGATACCAACTGAACCACTCGGCCACGGTTGTGTGATCGAGCAACCGACCTAGCCGAAGTTCCCCTCCCTTGTTCTCGCATCCCCTATCTCAAGGTACAACATGCCTGCTCTACAACAACTCTTGCACCGTCAACCTCTTCGGGGTCTACCAACCGCTCGCACCCTCAATTTCGTAAGAGTGATTTACCCCTCTCCTCCCCCCTGGCGCCGATCTTTGTGCGAACTCCCACTTTGAGGCCCACGCTAGGACGTGGGTTGTCAAGGAGTACGACAGCCACAACTGACACGGTCGAAAGAAACTACACACGCACGAGTTAAAAACTTCATCAGACAGATTCGTCGCACTACTGTCAGGAAAAAAACAGAGGGGGCCGTCCGTCGTGTATATTAATCGAGTCTCTTGAATACCTAGCCTTCTTTGTCGGCCGTCGCGGGCCCTTCGTCCAAGCCGGATACGCCCGACACCTTTCCCTTCCCGGCCTTCATCAGGGCCAGCTCGTAGGTCATGTTCTGCGAGGGAGGACGGATGCGAGAAACAGACCCCAAGTTTGTTTTTGTTCGAGGTACGTCGAGAGGTATGTCACGGAGGATTAGTATAGTCCAACAACGTGATTGAGGGTTGAAAATACTTGTTGTATATGGGTGGCCTACTGTAGACTAGTAAGCCATAGTGATACATGGGGCGAGCTGACTTCTTACTAGTTGAAAATACCCTGGCCTCGTCTGAAGCCCGTTCCATTCTACAGTCTAACGTTGGCTCTTCTTCATCACGAAACAGTTGCATGTGGGGGCTGGAGTGGCTTCATCGGTGCGGGATGTTTCATGGCTCTGTACGCCTGAGGTTGGGGTTGCGCTCGGGTGGTTGGTGCTAGCTCTCTTTCTATTTTATCTCCTTCCTTTTTCTCTCTGTTGAGAAAGGTCGTAGGACATGATCCAAACAAACCTCACAGACTGCCTGGCAGCCATGAGCTAGCCGGGCTAGGGACTGAATACTTGGCAAGTACAATTCAGAAAGAGCCAGGAGCCAGCCATGTGCGTGTGACCCTGCAGTCTGCATCGTATGTACGCCCACCACCATGTTGTTGATAAGAAGAAAAAGAGGTCATCACGTGCGTGTTTGATACGGGGAGAGAGAAGCAAGAGCAAAGGGATGTGATTTTCCGAAACGATTGGGATCAAGTGTGTGGATCGCGAGGGCCTTCCGAGCGAGAAGGGAGGGCGAGGGGGAAGCACACACCCACAGACCGGAACGCGCCGCCAGGCAGCATGCTGCCAACGCGCAATTTAGCACACACACGGCCGACGGTGGAACGGTCCGCCACACCGATGCACAACGATACATCCAGCGCCTTTGGTGTTGTATCAGTCGAGTAAGGAGACACACACGCTGCATCGGCCGCTTTTCGAATGTGCAACGGTCGTCCTGTCATTGTTCAGCCGAATGTAGCGCGGCCGACGCAACCGACACAAGGGAGAGCAGACACGACCACGACGCGTAGTTCATGTACGCGCAACAAAGAAAAACGCACCTGAAGCTTTCTCAGCGAGTTGAGCAGCTCGTTCTTCTTCTTGGGAAGGTTCCCTGGAAGGGCGTTCAGCGTCACAAACTCGTGGATCTGGATCGTGCACGGGAAAAACAACACACGGTGCGTTGGAGGGGGGGCAATTGCGACAGGTAGACAAGGAACCGAGGGATGAAAAAGGCGACAGCAACAAGGGCGGGGAAACCTGAACACATTCTAATATCAAGCCAACACATGCAGTTTTCGTAGGGCAAGATCGTGCAACGAAGACAAAGAAAAAGGGACAGATAAGAAGTCTACTGCAATGAATACGCTCGCACAGGAGCGGAAGTCGATTCAGCAAAAGTGATCGCCGGCGGAGGGCACCACTAAACAACTCCCAAAACACTTCTTTTTGGCGACTCGCGACAATCGTCTGTCGGCTTTCAACAACAAATGTTGTCATGCTGGGCACTCGATGGCCTCATTTTCCGTGCAAGGGTCACATATTCGGTTAGGCTTCTTTGCAATATTCACAACTGAGTGCATGAAGAATGGTTGCGCCTCCGAATGGCGAGGTCTAATCGAATGAGGTTGACCCATGGGTGTCTTTTTTAAGAAGGCCCAACGAATGAGCATCGACAAAGTGTGAAAGGGATGCCTCCAAATCGATGAAATCACTCATCTTTTCGGCAAAACACAAATTTTCCTGGCGATTCTGATTTGCGCAATGCTTTAGTGCTGGTGAGCTACTGTAGTAGGATATTTTCGACACATAATATAGTTTGCTTTTGCACATGTGGGTAAAACCCCAAGCCAAACGTACCACCGTAAAATGGAGGTCGGCATGAAAACCCACGAAAAACGGTCCACCCACGCGTATCGGACCGAGAACGTTCAGACCGCGCTTCGTACAACGAGGCACGGGGTTGCGCTCAGGACTACTTTCTTCACACACACGGAAAACGACTGCGACCCCCACAACAAACCGCAACGCTCAAAACAACGACGACGGCAGAGCAAAGGCGACGGCGGCGGCGGAATATCTCACCACCAAGACTGTCTCGAGGCACTCCTTTACCCCGACCGAGTCCCTCTCCGTCGCTCGCGCCACGGCAAACCGGTTGAGCTCGCCCGTGAGATCCAGCAGCCCCCCCAAGTACTGGTCATTGCCGTCGAAATAAACGGGCACCATGAAATGTGAAAACGAGGAGGGTAGGCACCAAAGTGAAATAGGTAGGTTGGTAATGACGGGGAGTGAACATGCTCGCGTTCCTGGAGCGCAATGTACCTTGTGCACTACCGGAACCACCATTTATTTACATTGGATCAATACGAGTGTGCGTGACGGGAATTTCAGGTCTGAAAAAGGTTAATATTGTCGGATGACACGTGCGTACATACCACAACAGCAAGCTACACCACCTAGATGCGTTCACTCGAGAGATCGAGCAACTCGCGCCATATTTCATGGCTGTTTCATTTCACTGGAGCAGCGCGGGAGCAGAGAGGCCCAGAACAGGTTTGTGAGAGAGGGCACGAAGGCAAGCATCCGCGGTGCAAGCGTGTCGGCAACATATACCGACGGGTGCTAGCTGAGTGGGCATACTACTTCGCAGTCCGGCCAAAGACCTTAACTTGGCACCGCTGAAGTGATCGCACTCGGTGCTTACCAAGGCGGGGCGAAGGCGGGGCTGCTTCTCGCCATCATTCAGTTTCACTGTGCTCCTCCGTGACGTGTCGAGGTACTGTACCGTAAGAGGCGCAGATATGGCACATTCCCCCGGGCCGATTTTCAAAAGCTCGATCGCTTCATAACCAACGTTGTGCCACCACCAAAAATGGCAGTTTTGGAAGCATCTCGTACACGGCTTTCCATAGACATACCGAGCTCGTACAGCACTTACTTGGTTGTGAGGCAGTCGGGAATTTTGAAAATCGGTCCAGGGGGGGTGCCACCTCTCGGCCTCTTCCGGACTACCACGGTATGGTATACGGTACGGTACAGCACCTACTTGGTTGTGAGGCAGTCGCGAATTTTGAAAATCCGTCCAGGGGGGGTGCCACCTCTCGGCCTCTTCCGGAATACCACGGTATGGTATACGGTACGGTACAGACCATCTTGGTTGTGGAGTAATCGAGCTTTGAAAATCGGTCTAGGGGGGGGGTGCCATCTCTCCGCCTCTTCCGGTACCCATAGTGGACGGCCTCCTTTCGAAAGACGAACACGTTTCACAGGGGCTACAAACCCAGAAAGACAACGCAGGCAAGAGGCCCTCTTCCTCCCTTCCCTTCCCTTCCCTTTCCTGCTGTGCATGCTTCTTGGTGTACGACGTTTGATGCAAAACGCAACGTTAACGTGACTCCGTTTCGATCGCTGCGTCCCGAGACCAGTATTGCAGAACACAAAACTCCGTCGTACGGACGGTCGCCCACCTCTTCCGTGTTGACCAGGCCGACCTCCGCCTTCGTTACTAACCTCTTCTCCTTAAGCCACAACTCGTACAGGCGGGCTTCCGCAAATTCCTGCAAGCGTGTTCACGCATAGCAGGGGATAGCAGGGGCGAGGGCCCCGGCAGAGAGCTCGACAAAGTCAACGCTCAGAAGTGTACACACGCGAAACACAGCGTGAGAAATAAATGAACCGAACCGGTACTGCTGTGCGGCGTTCGTGTGTCCTGGTGACGGCTGTGGTGTTTTTTTTGCCCGGGATTCCTTTGGGATGCTTAGCTTGCCACGACACGAAAAGCGGCGTGCTTTACATGCTTTCACTTCGAAGCGATCACGAGCAAAACTGCTGCAGGTTTTGCTGGGGGCCGGGAGGTCGGCGGCCATGAGGCAACATACCACCACCACCGACGTCGAACAACCACCATGACAGGAACAAATCCCCTTCTCAATCTGTAATACGCGATCTATTGTCGTGGATGTTCGTGTCCGCATCGTACGGCACGCGTGATTCAGTCACACCTCCATCGAGCACGAGTAGGCCCCCATCCTTAGCCGGGGGGTCTCGTCGATCAGGGGAAGGAGACCCTCCGCGGCCGTCCGACAGTCCGAAAGCTGCTTCTCTGCCTTCTTTAAGTCGGCCCTGGGGTGGGGTGAAGGGGGTTAGGGTTGCGGACGTAACACCCAAACGGAGCATAGGGACGTCCGGCATCGGGAAACACACACAATACAAGTAGAATTTACAGCGAGCAATCAGTGGCAAAACAAGTGCAAAATATGTTGTTTGCCAACGGCAGCGTGTGGTTTAGTCACTCGTTAACCACCACGGCAGACGTACGTAGCGTTACACAGCAAAGCAGGAGCGGTGTAAAAACAACAGTGCCACCGTAGCTTTGGCCGAGACACCCCAACAAACAACGTACGCACGCATGAAGCGAGAGGACATCGCCGCCCAACACAAGCAGCAAGGCCACGGTTCTTCAACGCTGGGGCCCACCGCGGGATAAAAAAACTTTCTGGTCATCCATGAATAACGTCGAACACAGACAGCCCTATTAGTCCTCCCCAAGTAAACCGCGACAATCACTCGGGCACTCTGGGGAGCGAGTCTAGCTTTCGCTCTTCACAGGTTCAAGCTTGCGCTCAAACTGAGCCCGGAGAGTACAGGAAAAAGCACTTGAACGCCATGCGACAGGCGGTGCTAGGAGGACAACGGTTCATTGCTCGGCGACTATTGCGACTACTGTCCCCGGTGTGCCCAGGTGGACCCCTTAGGGATCAACCAAACTTTTGAACATTCCAAGGAAAACGCAGTTTATCTTATGGCGTGGGTTCCAAAGGGTCATTTGGTGGAATCTACTCTCCGAGCTGCTCGTTTCCCGTAGACACGAAACACAGGCTGGGCACGACAGTCTTGATGGCCCTCCTCTCTGACTCACATAGATCTCAGAGGTCTGCGTCATCTTTTGGGCCGGAAAACACCTCTCTCCCGCCCGTACCCCGCCTTCAATAACGCCTCGTGTTCTCGCAAGCAAAAGCAGGGGCCATCTCCCGGCGAAATACCAAATACGTTCTTTGTGGGCACGCTCGAAGGTCTGCGTCATCTGGTGGGCCGGGACCTACCTTCCCCCCCGCCTTCAATAACGCCTCGTGGCATCGCAAGAGGAGCAGGGTCCATCTCTCGGCGCAAACATCAACTATCTTCGCGATGTGCGCGCGCAGGTCTGCGCCATATGTTGGGCCGGGAACTACCGTTAGGTTGCGAGTCAGCTAGAGCACGGGGGTGCGATCGATTTTCAAAGAGCCATTTCTCCCCAACCAGAAGGGTGCGAGGGCCAAGTGATACTTCTCAGGAAAGCTCTCAACGAGATATTTCCAAAACCGCCCATTTCGACAGCAGTGGTAACCTCCTGGTTGTGGATAACTTACGCTTTGAAGATAGCTCGCACCCCTGTGCTCTAGCTGACTCGCAACCTTACGGTACCTCTCCCGCCCTTTTCTCCGCCTCCCGTAAAGCCTCGTGGCTTCGCAAAAAAGCAGCGGTCAAGTCTCGGCGTAACACCAACTTCATCCGCTAAATTTATGTACGCCCGCGTGCTCGCTCACCGGTGGAGGCTGTATATGGCCATCTTGCTCCACTTTTGAATGTCTCGTGTCCGCTTGATGACGGCCTCCCTGTGTGTTCACAAAATCAGGAAGTACGCATCGAGCGGGCGCATGGCGCATGTGTGCGCGTGTGCGTGGGGGGGGGGTGCGACCACGGTTGACGCAGGCGGGAGCGGTTGAGGAGAAGGTGAGGCAGCAGAACACGATCGGACACGAGGCGAGCATACAAAAACGGAAAAGCAGAGGCACAAAAACGCCGAAAACCAACCTACTGCTGCGGCGATGGGGTTTACATACCCGTGTCCACCGCCAAGGAAGCGCAAATCCCACCATCGCATGCTTCCGCTCTTCTCCGCTAGTGACTCGGGCCTACTTGCGCTCAAAAACCCCAACGAAAGCACCAAAATCACCGACGCTGGAATGGTCTGCCGCCCGCTCCACTCGCCTGCCCCCGCCCATCTCTTCCAAACTCGGGAGGATAACCGCAAGAACCACCCGCCTCCCATCCCCGGTTATCTCTCTTCGAACTACTTCTAACCCCCTCCTCCCCGAGTTTACCTCTTCTCGTCGAAAGATATCATGGCCACGCGGATGGCCTCGAACTCTTCGGTGTCCAAAACGGGCCCCCCTTCTGTCTTCTGCTCCTCATTTTCCTTCTCCTCTCTCTCTTTCCGTTTTCGGCTTCCCCCGCCGCCGTCCTCGTCGGTATCGCCGTCTCCCTCGTCCGCTCCCGTGCCCACCAACGCCAGCTCGTACAGGATGTCGTCCACCTTGCGGACGTCGTACTTGACGCCGTCGAACTTCTTGCGGAGCGGGCCGTTGCGGAGGTCGAATTGCACCAGCTCTCCGAACACGCCGCGGCACAGCGAGGCGCAGGCGAGGATAGAGCTGCTGTCCAGGATGGAGGCCTACGTGGTGTGCGTGTGCGTCCTTGTGCATTAGCATCGACGGTGTTAAATCGGCTGACCAAAGAAAAGACGACAGTCTCAGTGCGGTTGACTACAGGAAGGACTTGTAAAGGCCATGAGTGAGTGTTCGTGTCGCCCCTGCCACTTTTCCTCCACTTCTTTCTGGAGTGTTGAGAAAAAACAGCACCACTAGCAGACATCGGCTGCGTACCATCTTAACCTGGACGTAGACAAAACTCCTGCCCCCGCCATAGGTAACACCAAACACGTAGCATCACCAACTTCACCTGAGTAATTGCGTATCGTGAGAGCTCAGCGGTGAGTCTCATGGCCGCTCCCAGGTACTCGTCGTCGGCGATCTCCGCTTCAAGCGCAGATTTACGCAGTAGCCGCCCTGGGGAGGACGTGAGAAGCACGAACAACCATCCCCAACGTGCGAAAGTAAAGGTACACCGCGCATGTGTGCGCGGGCCAACTCCGCAGCATGAAGGCAACGTTTGTCACCTTCCGATGGTCGGGGTCTGGAGCTCGAATCCCGACCGCGACGATTGAAGGCGTTTGCATCAAATGTACAAACCTACAAGCTCGCGCACACGTAGAGAAGCCCAACCCATCGGGGAGTGGGATACTGTCAGCAATTCTATCCTCCATGCCCAATCGACTTTACCCGAAAAATTGTGAATGACTATCTCCCCGCAGGAAAACAGTGCGCCCGAAAACAATGAACAAGCTTACGCTGTGCAGGACCTCTCGCTCAAAGATTTTTTTCATAGATGTACCGGCGGCTGCCTGGAAGGACGCGTGAGACGGGATGGAGGGCTGCAACATGCTACGGCTTGTATGGGGCAACCTCGGTTGTCTGTATTATCTGCAACAAGTGCTGCCGTGTCAACCAACCCGGGTTTCTGGGCGGTCCTCGCCTGGGCACGACTTGGCAAATCAACACAAATTTCGCCGATAACAAAATCCCTGGGTCTCCCACTGTACGCAACCTAGACTTGAAACACATTCGGGGGTACCACGGAGTAGATATTTCAAGGCCCTCTTTCCTCGAAAACACATGCTGCTGCTGCTGCTGCTGCGCAGCCTTCAAAGTCTAAAAAATAAAACCACGGCCGTCCCACCTGTCTGCAGGAAGTAGACGAAGGCCTTGGCCTTGACGAGGTTTTCGAGCGCCCCGGAAACCCTCTCGTTGCGCACCCCGTCCCTCGAGCAAGCCTTGTCAACGCCCTCCAGCTCCGATGCCATCAGGTCCGCGCCAGCTTCCAAAACAAATTGAGAGACAAGAAAAGAGGGAGGGGGAAGCCTTGGAGAGTAAGAAATGGGAGGGGGGGGGGGGGGGGG